ATTCTTCGAACGATTAGTTAAGTCAGTAAAGCGGTGTCTGAAGAAAATACTCGGGAAAGCATGTGTCACCTATGATGAACTACTAACTATACTTACAGAGATTGAGTGTGTCTTAAATTCAAGACCGTTAACTTATGTTTCTACCGAAGATCTCGAGGAACCTTTAACGCCATCACACCTACTTTGTGGAAGACGAATTTTATCTGTGCCATCTGGCGATACATCTGAGCTAATACATGTAGATCCTGACTGGAACCCTAAATCGGAAGAATTTACTAAACGTGTTGTTTATTTACAGAAGTTGATTGACAAATTTTGGAACAGATGGTCGAAGGAACACTTCCCAGAATTCGCTGTCTCAAGAAATAAGCGTAGGAGAAATGGTTTTAGTACATCAAGATAATCAGCTTCGAGGATCGTGGAAATTGGGAAAGGTTGAGAAACTGATTAAAGGTGATGACCACAAAGTTAGATCTGCAATTGTAAAGGTTAATGGAGAAGGAAGAAAAGCAAACCAGTTGAAGAGACCTATCAATAAACTATATTCATTGGAAGTAAGATCGCAAGACGAAGACAAATCAAACTCAGCGAGTGTACCCGAGACGCAAGCCAATATAGAACAGTTGGTTCAGGATCAACAGGAGACTACACCGCGAAGAAGAGCTGCAGTAATGGCAGATATGATCAGGAAGCAATGGATAAGAGATGAGTACATTTAATAACTTTAATGATGTACAAGTTAATTAAGTTAACCTTGACATTTTGTTTATAGTTTAATGTTGACCAGAACTTGTATGTTTAGTACAGGTCAACGGGGGGAGTGTGACGTATTTTTGTATGTTTTCACCTTAGAATCTAAGTGTAGCGCTCGCGAGAACACGCGAGAAGCCACGCGTTGCGAGAAACACGTTGTTATGAATTGAACAGCCGCCATTATGATAGTTTTCGTAAATATTCTTCATGAATTTGTTGTATATATGTTAATAAAATAAGTATTATAAACGATTTGGAGCCTTTTGAACCTAAATTCTCTTACAATTTATACAAAGACTCTGTATTAATGTCCTCACCGTTTAATAAATATATATATATTGAGATATTTAATATAACGACACGCATAAGAACACAAGGTTTGTGGGGTTATGGAAGTGTGGGACAACTGCTCTATATACTGTATTTTTTATCTGCGAAGAGCTGGGTGCTGAGCGGTTCCCAGGGCATAAACTCGTATTGAAAAGCTGGATCTTGGGGAAAGTCGATTAGGACATATACTGATTTGCAGCTGGGTCCTAATCTGCCCAAGACATATACTTTTACGGATTTTGAGCTGGGTCCTGAGTCGGCTAGAACATATACTCCATTTAGAGCTGGATCCTAGCCTGCCCTGCAAGACATATACTCTGAGCTGGGCCCTGGGAAAAAATGATCAGGGAAATATTTCTTAGAACACTGATCTGGCTCAGCACATATACTCATATGCAGAAATAGAGTGATTTTGTAAATGGGAATTGGCTGTATGCCAGGTTGCCAAATTCCGTAAAGAAAACGTGAGGTCTATGGTAAAATTGCGACCTCATACTAGAGCAATTGCCTCAAACACTTCATTCTTTATTTATTATTTTATTAAATACATAATAACATTGATATAACAGTCTAGTGAATGTCGATAAGCGTTTAATATCCAACGAAGATAATATTTATATATAGATCTAAATATAGTTCAATGTTTCCGAGAATTCAATATGACTCCCTAGGCGGGCCCATAACATACCGTAATTACTTCCAAGTACCATCTTGTACCATCTCGTTACATCAGGGAAGGGGCTGGAGCATGGGGTGGTTGGTGGGTGACTCTTTAAATCAGTCTTTACAGCTCGCAATCCAAGTAAGAATGATATAGGCAGATAAAGCTAACTCGGATATCTGCCCATGTTTAACTATAGTTTCATTGTTGTAGTTATGAATAGGTCAAACATAGTGGTTTGGACAATAATTAATAAACGATACTGGGTGCAGTAGCCTACGGGTTTGGCAAGCAAATAATGAAAGTCTGTGATAGAGTCTTCCTTTGTTTAGACAATAGTAGCTTTTGAGTTGGCTTAACATAGACATTTTAAATCTATAATTTTTAGGTCTAGCGCATTGAGTATCGTCCATTAACAATAATTTGTACTCGTAAAAATTACCATATAAAAATCTTGTAACAGGAAATGTGAGTTTCAGAAACTGTGTGTCTCAGACAAAAAATATTCTAAAATTAAATACCTCACCTACAAACAAATTACAAAAATATATAATTTGGGTATATTGGACAGGTTTCCTCTAATGTTAGTACAGACTACATGTGTAGGATATTAGCACACTGACTAAATGGGAATTCAATATTTAACATTCTATAAAATCTGTTTTGTGTACACAAGTCTCACAATCTATAGTAATTATATTCCTGACTGGAAAGTTTGCAAAGGGTGCAGCTAATTTTTGTTTTAATATGTAAAATAGTATTATTCCGCAAACTACAAACCTTCCAGACTGCGGCCAATATGAGACTCCTATAGTCGAACCTCCGTTAGGCAGCCCTCCTTTACGAATCATGCTTAATATTTTGCTTTATACGCATATTAATCACACATAAATATAATGTTCAACACATGTCGACACCAACAGGTCAATGTAAGTTTTTGCATCAGTGTTCGTTAACACTTCTTGATCTTTTCAGTCTACCTATTACTGTAATCAGTGATTTTTGAATAAATAGACATTGGAGCCCCCAACCCCAAGTCTAGTTTATGACCACTTCATTGGGTTAGGGTTAGGGTTAGGGTTATTGAGCATTGAGGTTGAATTGTATTTTTTATACTATTTAATTTTGTTAATGTTTAACCCATTAAGGGCCAGCGCTCTCCCCTTGACAAGTAAAATCGTCTGGCGTTAGACAGTGAAACAATAAAGTAGGGCGTATCAGGCCGCAATGCGACTCAATGGGTTAATGTAAAATAGTATTAGTATATAACAACAACAGGGAGTTGCAAATTTGCATGATAACACTTGTTGCAGTCATTACCAAGTGAGTAACTACACAGATTTATACAACAAATTAGGCTTTCTCAATAATTATGTCATGTATGCCGGTTTAGCCTGCGCACCTCGCTTTCATGTATCAGGACAAAATGTGATTGGATCACTATTCATGGGAATTTGTTGTTTGTAGGTGAGATATTTAATAAATATTCTAGAATAATTTTGTCTGAGACACCCAGACACACATTTTCTGAAACTCACATTTCCTGTTACAAGATTTTTATTAGAGAAAATACGTAATAGATGAATTAACTTAATATTTACAAATACTATGTATTGTCGGGAACTGACAGATAAGATTATTATTTTAATTGATTATTAATGCATGACGTAGGAATGATTAGGTGTCAAAGTGAGGGTGTGAGTGAAATAGTCACGAAAGAGAGCAGAGAGTTAGTTGAACAATCGTAGTTGGACTGTGACAGTGAGTGAGAGAGAAATTGTATTGTGAAAGAGAGATAATAGCCCGTGCGCTATCTATCTATACGTAATCGTGACCATTGTGAACCTTTTAATTTTGTTATATATCTTTGGTAAATTTTATGTTTTGTTTGAATATACATTTTTGTTATTTCGAACATTTGTGACTTGTCGAGGACTACATTTTGGAGGCGAATTCTCGACATAGTGGCACCTCCTGAACGGGATTCTGCTGAATCTGTGATATGAATATGGACGGGAAAGAGTTGGAGAATCTCGAAACGAAGCTAACGCAGCTGGAAATCGCAACAGAGAAGTCAAAAACATTGCTGAGCTCAGGTAAGCGAGTAGCAATTAAGCGACACCTCGACGCGTTACAAACAACGGCCAACGAGGCCAACGAGTGCAGACGCACTGTTGAGGCATTTAAAATCACAAACAAAGAAGAGCTTTCAGAAATAAAAAAATGGAACGATGACTTAGATTTAAAGTTTGAGCCCGCTGACGCGGCTATTCAAAACCTAGAACATTTTCTTGCTGAGGCCAAAAAGGCCGAAAAGTTTGTGACGCACGAGGAAGAGTTAAAGCATGAAATGATACTGCATGAAAAGAGAATGGAAATGCAAGCCGAACTGTCTTCTGCCTCGTCTTCAGCCCCCAAACATCAAAAGGAATGTAAAGAATCCGAAGTATTTTCGGCTGGGACTGCAAAATTACCCAAACTCGTTATCGCAAAGTTTGGTGGCTCTTTTACTGACTGGCCAAAGTTCTGGGGACAATTCACTGAAGCGATTGACAAAAGTTTGCTAGCGCCAATAACGAAGTTTACGTATCTGTTAGAGCTGCTTGAACCAAACGTAAAACGCGGTGTCGAATCTCTTCCATTTAGTCCTGAGGGCTGAGGGGTATAATAAAGCGAAAGTAATTTTGAAAGATAAATACGGCAAAGAGTCAGAAATAGAGAAATGCTATGTGAAGGAAATTTTGGATTTACCAAACATTCTGGGAGCCAATCCCCGTAAGATCGCTAACTTTTGTGATAAACTTACGCATTCAGTTCAAGCGCTCGAGACGATGGGCAAACTTAGTAATGTTAATGGGAACGTAGCAATGACCCTTGATAAACTATCGGGAATTCGGGGGGATTTGGTGCGCAACGACCCTTAGTGGGATGCCTGGGATTTTATCAAACTAACTGATGCAGTAAATCAATGGGTAAAGAGAAACCCCGTAACTAGCTCTGGAGGGGAACGGGAGGAGAACAATGCAGGAAAACTCTTCCATTCTCAAAATCAGCGATTTGTGCCCAGGGGATGTGTTTACTGTGGTGATTTGGGCCATAAAGCCGTCCAATGCGAAAACGTTAGTGATGTAGGCGAAAGAAAGAAAATACTGGCAAGAAAGGGTCATTGTTTTAATTGCGCAACGAAACCCCATCGCGCTGCTGATTGTACAAGTAAATCTGCCTGCAGCCAATGCGGCAAACGTCATCACTCATCCATTTGTGATCAAGCTAAGATAGGCAATGAAACTGATAAACACGCGTCCGGTGATAAGCAGTTGATGACAGATGGTGGCAGTGGTGAGGGCATATTTCCTGTAGTTGTGATTAAAGTAAAGGCATACTTCGAAACCCGGACCCGGACTCGGACTCGAAGAAAATCCGGACTCGAGAAAAACCCGGACCCGGATTCGAAGAAAATCCGGACTCGTGTTTAACAAAACCCGGACTTGACTTCTGAAAACCCGGACTCGAAATAGACAAAACCGGATTCAAAACAAGGACTCTGTGCACGAGAATGCAAAGGTTTTGTCGGTAATAACTCGCGGATAAATGGATTTGTGCTCTTGCGCGGGTGCCCCTTTCTCTTCTCGCCTTTGTATATAATAAAATACTTCATTTCAAAAGCAATAAGCTTTGGTTTCGAAAGATGTAGATAATTTTTTCTTCTAGTGACTCAGTGTTATGCCTTATCTGAGGATACTAATCAGTTATCATATACTGTATGGTTCCTCACAAAACAATCACTATATAGCCTACCTAAACAAATCATTTAGCCTAAAACATATACTTGCTTACTTACTTAATTTAATATTGATATGCTCTTAACATCACGCAAAGCGAAGGTCGAGCAATATGACGTAACCATCACTTCCCACGACGGAAGACACGAAATGATGACGAGATTAAACAAGGTCGATAAGAGCGAGCTCTTGTTCATTGAAAACCCTGAGTACGAGAAGTTGATAAAGCGTTATCAACACCTCAACGCCGTACATATGGACGATCACGACACGAAAAGTCAACTACCCATTCAAGTCATCCTCGGAAGCGGTGAATATGCCCGTATAAAGACAGCAACGAAACCTCTTATCGGGGGAGAAGGAGAACCAGTGGCGGAGAGGACCAAGTTGGGATGGATGATCCTCAGTCCTGGGGCCGAGTTTGACAAGACGAAAATGTTCTTAACTCAGACATCGCAAATGGATTTCGACAAGCTATGCCGTCTAGACGTACTCTGTCTCGCAGACAGCGCAGAGAACGAGCAACTTCCTGTGTACGAAGAGTTTCAAGAACAACTCGAGAGAAGCCCCGAAGGATGGTACGAAACTGGCCTGCCCTGGAGATCGAACAACCTCCTTCTGCCAATCAATGAAATGGGGAGTCGTCGACGCTTAGACAACTTGGTAAAGCGGCTGAAAGACCCCGCAAAGTGGCCACCAGTGGAAGAGGAACTAAAACCGACCAAGAATCAACAAGCACTAACAACGCTCAAGCAATCGATCACAATCGACATATGGGAAGAGTTGCTCAAGACGTTTTCTCTCCGGAAGGCCCTGAGAATTCGTGCCCAATTCAACCGGTTTGCAAAGAATCGTAAGGTATCCTGCGAAAATCGGAAAACAGGACCGTTAACGTCGGAAGAAATCGAAGAAAGTGAACTTTGGGCGATTAAAAGAACGCAATGTGAAGTCAAGGAAGATCCTGAATTCCACGACATCCAACTTCAATTGAACATTCAGCTTAACGGAAACGGAGTACTCGAATGTCGCGGTCGAATTGAAGGAAATTTCCCCGTGTACTTGCCTCGCAGTTCCAGCTTAGCCAAGAAAGTAGTCGAACGAGCACATCTAGTAACCCTCCACGGTGGTGTCGCTATGGTCATGGCAAAAGTACGTCAGCGATTTTGGATTCCAAAACTGCGACGGTTGGTGAAGCAAGTGCGGAAAGATTGTTACGGGAGCGTGCGATTTAGAGCTCAAGCATATAAGAAACCTCCACCTGGGAAGCTGCCAATCACGAGAACGCAAGGTTCAACCCCGTTCCAAGTCATTGGAGTAGATTTTTCGGGTCCAATACGCTACCGGACTAAAGCAAAGGCGGAGAAGAAGGCATACCTGGTGCTTTATGGCTGCAGTTTGACGCGTGCAGTGCATCTCGAGATCTTACGGTCACTGGAAGTTGTGGAGTTCATGCCAAGTCTGAAAAGGCTCATCGCAAGACGTGGTCGCCCGAAGTTCATATATTCCGACAACGCGAAGACCTTTAAGGCTGCCGACAAATGGCTGAAGAAAGCACAAAAGGACGAGAAGTTCAACGCATTCCTGGCTGACAACGCAATCGAGTGGAGGTTCAACCTTAGTCGTGCGCCATGGTGGGGAGGCCAATTTGAACGCCTCATTGGTCTCTTCAAAAGAGCGTTCTACAAAACGATCGGTAACGGAACGCTGACCTTAGACGAATTAGAGGAAGTAGTATTGGATGTGGAAGTGGCTCTCAACAACCGTCCGTTGACCTATCTAGAAGATGACATCCAATTACCAGTACTTACACCTTCCACAATGCTGAACATTAACCCTTGTGTCCTACCTGAAGCTGATCCCCACTACCTGGAAGATAGAGATTTGCGGAAACGTGCGAGACTATTACGGAAATGTAAAGAGGCGATGTGGAAACGTTGGTCCCAAGAGTATGTTCGAAGCCTGCGCGAACGCCATAACCAACGGGTCGGCAAACAGACCTCCTATCCAAAGATCGGGGAGATCGTCATAGTTCGGGACGAAGACAAGAAACGTCATGCATGGAAACTCGGAGTCGTGTCCAGGGTGACGAAAGGAAGAGATGATGTGATGCGGGGAGCTAGTATACGGACCTCGAACGGGAATATCGAGCGAGCGGTCCAGCATATTTATCCCTTAGAGCTATCCTGCGACGAGACAAAGTGGACCCCAACCCGGAAGTACCAACCTTTACCCCGCGTCCGACCAGGGATGCAGCAGAAGCAGCGAAGATACGGTTGAAGCAAGTCGCGAATGCGGAAGAACACTAATGCAAGACATTTATTACAACTTTATTCCATATTAACTTTATATATTCTATTTGTTAGGTAGTAAATGATGAACTACAGCAACGAAGTCAGTCCCTTCAAGGACATATATCTCAATTCTGAGCTATATGGGGGAGTGTGTCGGGAACTGACAGATAAGATTATTATTTTAATTGATTATTAATGCATGACGTAGGAATGATTAGGTGTCAAAGTGAGGGTGTGAGTGAAATAGTCACGAAAGAGAGCAGAGAGTTAGTTGAACAATCGTAGTTGGACTGTGACAGTGAGTGAGAGAGAAATTGTATTGTGAAAGAGAGATAATAGCCCGTGCGCTATCTATCTATACGTAATTGTGACCATTGTGAACCTTTTAATTTTGTTATATATCTTTGGTAAATTTTATGTTTTGTTTGAATATACATTTTTGTTATTTCGAACATTTGTGACTTGTCGAGGACTACATTTTGGAGGCGAATTCTCGACAGTATACATTCATGCATACAATGTAAAATTTGTAAACAAAACTATAAACTTATCTAGTTGTCTTCTACTTCTAGTTAATATCTATGCAAAGTAAACTATAAATTATGCACACATATGTCAATGAATATCAGCCATCGTAGAAAGTGCAAGAAAAGGTAGGTAGGTAGGTAGGTAATACTTTATTTAAAATTAACAGAAAGAAGAACACGCTAGCCCCATCAACTCTAGGCTGGTTTCCATGGGGGGCGTGTTTAGATCTTAAAAAATCATTAAAAGGAAAATTTAAACTAAATATTAGTACACACATACTGTACACGTTACTATATACAAATAATTAGGAAGCATGTCGCTGTCCAACAATTGATTTAAACGAATGAGGCGACTCGGCCAATTTTGCTTCGTTTGGGAGTTGATTCTAGAGCATAGCGCCGCTATATTTAAAACTTTTTTAAAGAAATTTTCGTTTCGGTTTAGGAATTGTTAGATCAGTTGCTGTGTTTCGAAGATGATAATTAGTTTGATCTATTTCTCTTCTCACAAATGACCCCTGGAGACCTGGCGCAGTGTGGTCGTTAAGTATTTTATACATTAATACTGACTTGGCACCAGACCGCCTATTTTCAAGTGTATTCCAAGAAAGCATGTTGAGAAGATCAGCTGAGCGAGTATCATAATTAGCACCCGTTAGGACTCTTGCTGCACGAGACTGAAATCTTTGCAACTTGTCTCTTAGCAACTTACCACAAATGTCCCAAAGGGGGGAACAATAATCAAAGTAGGGCTGCACAAGACTTTTATAAATCGATTCTAAGGTATGCATTGGAACAAAGGGCTTTATACGTTTCATAGCGCCAATAGCAGCGCTCGCCTTCTTGCATATCATTTCAATGTGACTATCCCAATTAAGGGTTTCATCTAGTTTTATTCCTAGGCACATTTGTGTAGCAATTAGCCACAACGGGTTCCTCACACATTATATTATTAAGATTATACGGGGAGCCAATAAACATCATTTTACATTTTGATGGATGCATCTGCAGTCTATTTTCTTTAAGCCAGTTACAGACATGGGCAAGATCTGAATTTAAATTTACAACAAGTTCA